GCTGGGCATGGTGGCAGGTGCCTGTAATCCCAGCTACTTGGGAGGTTGAGGCAGGAGAAATGCTTGAACCTGGGAGGCAGAAGTTGCAGTGAGCTGAGATCGGCCATTGCACTCCAGCCTGGGGGACAAGAGTGAGATTTCGTCTTAAAAAAAAAAAAAAAAAAGTTTACAAAGCTAATTACCACTACAAAAACAAAGTAAATTTTAACTGTCAGTTGAGTCCCAACAATTAATGACTACACATTTTATAATAGTTTGAAAGAGGCTTTGTAATGGAATTTTTTTATGTGAAACAGGACATTATACTAACACATCTAAATATCTTTGTTTCTCTGAAGTACGAAGCCAAAAGTTTAAGATTATAAACTCATAATTAGTCATTAATGTCTCAGCATTATATGTTATTTGGAGATCATCTAGATAGTTAATGAATACCTATCATTTAACTTAGCTTAGCAAAACTCGAGGAGAAAAAGTTACCAAAAGGATTTTAAAAACCTTTTTTAAGTAAACACATTATAAAACCTAATTATTATTAAAACTTCTACCTGACCAGGCTCATGCCTATAATTCCAGCCCTTTGGGAGGCTGAGACAGGAGGATCACTTGAGCCCAGGAGTTCGAGGCTGCCTTGAGCCATGTTCATGCCACTGCACTCCAGTTAGTGTGACAGAGTGAGACTCCAACTCTAAACAAACAAACAAAAACCTTTTATTTTGTTACATTTATTTATTCCTTCTTAAGAACTATGTTTGGAAATTTTTAGGAAACATTCGACAAATCTAGCCATCATCTTATTTCTTTATTAATCATTTCTACAGTTTGTGAATGTTAGGCAGTCACCACCAAAGCAAAAGCCCTAAGGTTAATACATGGATGTTTTGCTGATCAAATTACACTGCTGCTTTCATTAAACCAACAAATTAGTCTTATTTACCAAAAATTTACCCAACTTACAATAATTAAAAGGCATTTGAGTTCATTTCTACTTTTCTGATAAAATATATCATTTAAGCACCTACTTTTTCTTTAAGCCAATTAACTATAGCTCTTTCATATATTTTGGTAGTGAAATATCAACCAAACACAGGTTCAGCTGCCCTCTGCTTGCAAAATTGAATAACAAGGACAAGGTGCAGTAGAAGGAAAGTGCCTTTATTTTTCAGTGCTAGCAGTGGGGAGATGGTTCAGGCTCCTGCCTTAATAAAACCACTTCAGAATTCTCAGGTGAAATGCTAGGACTTAAGAAGGGGAAGTTTGGTATGGAGGGCATGTGGGGCGAGATGGTGCAAGTCTATGAGACTTGTTCCAATGACTCAAGTTATTGCCCCATCTGGTGAATGGGCTGGTACCATCTCAGGCTTGTCTGGGCTGTAAATTAGCTGCAGCCTTGTAATCTCCTGGTGGGGTAGAATTTCATAGGCATCTGGATTGTCTCAAGATTCAGTCTCTGGAACTTCTAAGCAAACATAATTAGATAAGCCAGCAATGCAAGGGAGTGCTTGGTGGAAAGAAAGTCAAGATTATTATTTCATTACTAAAAAGTTAATACAGAGGGCTGCAGGAGGAAAAAAAATTAAAAATAGGGCACTCAGTTACAAAATCACATACACATGATACATATAAACATACACGCAGAAGCAGATTTTATAGCTTCATAAGGCTTTCATTTGCCAGTTTTCAAATAATTTTTCCTCCAACTTGATCTTATTTT